TTTTCAGTTAAGTTTCTCAAACTATTTAATTTTTATTATTTTGCTGAAATATTTTCATGTTTTTGCCAGAAAATATTAACTAGATTTATTACAACATCTGGAACAAGCTGTTTACCTGAGGGATCATTTGTGTTTCAAGTGTAGCAACATAATAAAACATGAAGTTACAGCTTTGTAAATTCATTTATGCTCATGTTTTTTTATTGTTTTCACTGTGTGCAGTGATATCAGTAATTACGTTTAAACAGACACATTCCAAAGACAAGTACTGATCTCTTCTTCTCCTCAGGAGTAAACAGACTGCAGCTGTTCCCGCCCTGACCGTGGAGCCTCTGGCCTTGAACATCACACTTTGCCAGGCCATGGTGTCCCTCAGCCAGAAGCAGGGTCCCAGCCAGGAGGCGGACGGCGGCTGGCTGTCTCCTCTCAGGTGTTTTGTCCGGGACACTCTGAGCAGCGGAGTGAAGCTGAGCTACAAGCAGCTGCTCATGCTGCTGGGCACCGTGCAGAACATGGTGCTGACACAAAGGAGCAGAAGTAAGCGGCGAGCACGTGATTTTAAACAAGATGGAGCCTGTCTGTTCTGAAATGTCTCAGTTCTGTCAGAAACACAGTTTAGGACCGCTGCAGAAGACTAGCAGCAAATATACACAGACTCCTGATTTTCATTAGTATGTGTTTGATGCATTTCTGTTCTTTTTAAAAGATTTCATGACAAGTTTTATTTCAACCCCACTCTGTCAGCGCCGGCTTTGCTATTTTCAGAGCACATTCAGTCCATTTAAATGATTATCAAACCCCAACGGTGTACATCATCACAGTAACCACATACAGGGTTCCTGCAGATCCTTAAAAAATCTTAAATCATTGAATTCATCAATCCAAAATTAAGGCCTTAATTAGCCTTAAAATGTCTTAAATCAATCTGTCAGAAGTCTTAAAAATGTCAACAGATTGTACATAGAATGACTGTAATTCATCTGAAATATTAAAATAATTGGTAATTTTTTTTAAATATTCACATGCAGACATTCCCCTTTGATATCACTTCCTGTTGCTTCACATGCAAATATCTCTACAACTGTCCATCTGAGCAATGTGAAATTTGTTTTGCAATATGTTAGTAATGTTGTCTTTCCAAAAATCCATTCACTTTTCTTACAAAAATATTGATGTCACAGGCACTTCAAGGTTTCATCTACAGCAAATTGGGGTTAAGACCCCACTGTGGGTCCTAAAACTCCAAATTTTGGGTTGTTAGAGGATTTCCAGAAATTAAATTAAGTTAAAAATTGACTGCTAAGAATGTTTCTGCTATATTTTGATATGGATAAAAACAATTGGTCTATTAGCATATTTGAATACTTCAGCGAAAAATACTTTGATTCATGAGTTTCTGCCAGTTTTTATTTTTGTCATTTGTGTTTATTGTGAAATTGGTCTTAAATTTAATTTCACTTGGCATTAAAAAGTCTTAAATTTAACTTTCTTCAAACTGTAGGAACGCTGACATACGTCTTCAAAAAAACCAGTGGTTCCCCACAACAGATCACCAAGTGAGGAAGCTGAAGATGATCCTCAGGAACAGTTCAGTTTTAAAGTACCTGTGACATGCATATACTTCAAATACAAAAAGTCAAAGAAAACATCTTTACACTTAAGAAAATTCCCTTAATACACAGGATTTTACCTATTTTGTCACATAATCGGCCTATTTTGTTTTGAATTTGTCTCAGCCAAAGTAAGACAGGAAGTGACATCAAAGGGGAACTCTTTAATAAAATAAAATCTTTGGTTTTTCTGTAAAACAATATCATTTAAACTTTAACTCTTTTTTTGTCTCTCTTCCGTCATCACTTCCTGTTACTTCACATGCAAATATCTCAACAACTGTTCATCTCAGCAACGTGAAATTTGTTTTGCAATATGTTATCAATGTTATCTTTCCAAAAATGCATTCATTTTGATTACATAAATTTGATATCACAGGCACTTTAAAATCATTGCTAATGGGTTTGTTTTGCAATAGTTGCTAAATTAGATTAAAAAATGTTGTATTTAGGTGAGAAATAGTACCGTGGTTAGAGTTATTTATTATTTTGTTGTTCAATACCTAAAAGTTTGGGAATCGCTGAAATAACAGATTTCCTCTAAAGCAGAAGTTAGGAGGAAATAACTGTTCCTTTCCTTCCTGTTGGTCAGCTCAAAATGAGCACACGTTCTGTATTAGCTCTGCTGTAAAACTGGACGAGTGTATTCAGTTAGAAAGGCTGTTACTGTCCTGATAAATGTAAATTTCTTAACTTAAAAATTGTTCAAAGTCTCGTTTTCCTTCATCAGCTGTGTTAATGTGTGTTTGTGCAGCAGTGACAGAGGAGCTGTTGGCAGCTGTGTACGTCTACTATAAACAGAGGAACCTTCCCCTGCAGACACGCTCGCTGCTGCTTTCTTTCTACAGCAAACTCTACCTGCAGGAGCAGGAGCACACTCATATCGCCAGGTAACCTCTGGGTTTTCTTGTTTTCTTCAGCATTAGATATGGCCTGACAGCATTTTAAGGGTGCCAACACTGCCAGTGCCTAAGCATTGTTGCAATCTAATGACTGTTTTTATTTTTATTTTTTGTTTTTTTCTATTTAAAACAGGGACAATGTGCAAATAAAACATTAATGAAAAAGATGCTTTGCACCAGATTTAGCTTAAGCTGATTTCCATCTGTAGTCCCTGAACAAAAAAAATGCAATCTAAAATCAAAACATACAGCAATAATCCGTACAAGTTAGAAATATAATTATTAGGGGTGCAACGATACAGAAAATTCATGATTCAGTTTGGTTCGAAACTTTAGTTTCACGGTTCGATATTTTTTCGATACACAAAAGAGAAATTTCCATGCCCTTTTAACATGTAATTTATTTAAATTAATTATGAACATTTGTTTAACCTCAAAAGTTCAGTTTTTAAATTAAATGTTGCTGAAACAAAGTTTCTCAGTAGATCTGCGCTCAAAAAATACAGCCTAGGTGGAGTAGTCGAACACAGATCCACTGATCCTTCAACACAGAGCATCTTCAGAAGACAAGTTGATTAAGTAAATTTTAAAAATCTGTATTGTTCGATACAAGTGTGTATTGAAACTAAAGCACTGTTCAATACGGTTCAATATGGGTAATGTATTGTTGCACCCCTAATAATTACTGTACAATGTTTAACATTTTCTATTTTTCTAATATGTGACAATGGCAGCGTTTCCATTACAAATGTGCGCAAAACTTTGTCGATATTCTGTTGATGTCGAAAAAACACAGTTTCGCAACTGCAGTGTTTCCATTAAGTAAGAAATGCTATTAAAGTCACGCGTGAATATGTTTGATCTCGTGATAAGTCATTACAAACATGGCAGTGATGGATGTAAACACATAGCATGTTGCTATCGCGACACTAGCGCTCATCATCAGAGGAGACGTTGGCGTCTTTTATCGAGGCTTTCCAGAGACAAGTCCCTACTTGGGAGCGGCTACGTATGCTGTGTTTTTGGGAAATTGTAGTCTGTGAGTTTACTACTTTATCGTACGACTTCTGTGATTTTACTACTTTTACTTCCTGTTATCTTCTTTGTCGTCGTCTTTTTCACCAGTAGAAACATCCGGTTGTTGATCACGTGACTCCCTTGATG